ATATAATAAAATGTATTAACACATACATTAATAAGATACAACAATATAAATGATATTATAAAAGACGCCCGCCTTGTCATTTTTGTCGCCTAGGCGGGCGCCTAGTTGCTAAATGTCAAGGCGTTTGGGTGAGGTGCCCAGCCAAGGGCGCCTAGTCGACTAGGTGACGCCTTGACAACTATGCTTGTACAAAATGTGGACTTGCAGAAATTTTAAATTACAATAACAATTATTKTTATTATTACTAAATGTGCACCTACTACTAAATTTTGTATTCCATTTCTGTCTTAAATAAAAATAATTTTTATTTTAACAATTATTTTTATTTAATATGATGATTATATAACGTTAGAAATGTTCCGAAATGCCTTTAACAAACTCTATACTTTTTTATCTTTTGTGTTCTATCTTTTTTTAACTATTTATTATTCAATTATGATATCATGATTTTTTTTTTAAAGTTGGATCATTGACCCACCATTTAAATAAGAAAATAACTTTGCTTTTGGATCAGTTTTAAATTATATATTTCATCTATATAATATACATAATTTTTACTTATCACACTTAATTTTTGTTTGACATAATTAATACATCATCTTTTATATATTTTTTGATTAATTATACTTTTTTATTATTTTTTAAATATTTACTATTTAACTCTTATATCATCGATTAATCCATTTGATCCAAACTACTAACCCATGACCCAAAAAGAAAAATAGTTTGATTTCTAAGTTGACATTAAATTTTGTATTACATTTCCATTATTGATAAAATTATATTTAATGTATAATATTTATTTTTGTGATTCTTTGTATTTTCTATTTTTAAAAATTTTATTATTTGACTATGACATCATTTCATTTCTAGGTTGATTTTAATTTTGGCATTCCATTTTCATCATTTACAAAAATACTTCTTACATTTCATACTTATTTTTGTTCAGTATAATGAATATACAATATAAATGACATGCCCAGTTCTTTTTTTTTTGTATTATATATTTTATTTATTTTAATTTTTCATTATTTAATTATGGCATTGTTTATTAATGGATTTGACCCCAAGTGGTTGAATTGCTTACCCACCACCGAGAGAGAAGAAAACGGTTTTGTTTTCAAATTATTTTTCAAAATATTTATTTTTTTATATTATTAAAATTAATGTTGTGGATTTAATTAGTAGAATTTGATGATGAGAAAAATATATCTTAAATATAGGATTTAATAAGAGAATATACCTTAGATATGAGATTTAATGAGATATAGTAGGAAAATAGTTTTACTTCTAATTGGTTTTAAATTTTACATTTCATTTCCATCATTAATAAAAGCATTTCTTATTTATAATCAATGTTTTCAACTTGTTACTAACATGCCCGATTGAACCGTTCAAACCGTCACTCAGCCTTGATTCTAGGTTTGGTTTTGTTGAACCCCCTTTTTGGTTAAAAACCATCTAACTTGGGCGGTTCAACCATTACCTGTTAGACTTAGTAACCAAGTCGTAGGTTGTGCACTTAATTATGTGCAAACTTTTGGAAGCCATAACTTTGAACTTAGATGTCTGATTGGGATTATATTTTTTTTGAGTAACTTTTTAAGATACGTTCCAAGGGCATTATGCGCCTTGCCTTGCTATTTTTGCGAAAAAAAACCCTTTTTTGACCCCAAATTGCAGCTTTTAATATTTTTTTGTAAATAAAAAATTAAAACGGAATTAAAAAACATAAATGCAACATAATACATATATTACATATAATATATGTAAAACATAATTATATTATTTATTGATAAAATATGTATTTTTACACACACACATAGTGTTGCCGCAAAGCAGTTTGACTCATTTGACATCGACAGTCTAATTGGTGACTTGTGACCCGAAGGTAAAAGTGGGTCGGCCTTTGAGTTGGTTTTTAAAACATTGTTTGTCATATTTATTATTGTTTTAATGTGTAGAAAATATGATGTTAAAAACGTTCCCATTTTTTTAATTTCTATATTTTTTCATTTTATATATTTTTTATTTTACTATTTAATTGTGGCAACATGGATTGGCCCATTTGACCCAAATGGTTTAATTTCTTACCACCACCTAGATGAAAATACTATTTTTTCCTGGTAGATTTTAAAAGTATGAGCTTTTATGTTATTGGAATTGTTAATTTATTATGTATGTATTTAATTATAGAATTTAATGATGAGAAGAAACAAAGAAGCCTTAAATATATGATTCAATGAAAGTGAATGCAAATTAATACCTTAAATGTTGTATTTAATGAGAGATATATGAATGCATTGAATATTTTATAATTTACTCTTTTCAACTCATTTAATATTAATAACTAATTACCCTATTTTCTCTCATTTTTTATCAATAAATTTAAATATAGAGGGGTAAGTTTTGTCATCACAAAATTCTAGAAATATTCTTGAGGCTATTCGTACTTTTTAAAGTAGTATAGATAACTCTCATCAGTATCTATAAAAAAATATTACTCTCATCAGTTAGTGATTGATGTGTTTGAAGATCTCCATCATTCTCCCTAACGTTCCTCTAACTCTTGAAACATCTTCCTTGTGAAGGATTCACCTCGCAACACAAACAAACCCAGGGTTCTACCTACCTTCGTTGCTGAGCTGCTAGGGTTAGACCCCAAGCACAACTAGTGGGTGTTTGAAAGAAACACTGAACCCGAACCAATTTCCATCTATGCCCTTGACC